CCATTGTAGCATGGGCGATCGATAGCGACAAAAGGAATTCCAAAGGCGATTGCAAATTTGGCAGCGGAATAATTAGGATCTGCGTCATAATAGCTGCTTGTCAACGTGCCTCCGTGTATTCCAACTAGCAAGGGCAAGTTTTGGGGCGAGAGCGATGTTCTAGGCGGGGTGATGTATTTCCCAGTAATTCGAGCCTGTGGTGACACGTCGAGTTCGAAATCATTTAGAAAATATTTGTTGGCAATATTTGATGTCATGATGACTGAGAGAGAGTGTGTCACGCCCTTGACAAGACTGGTAAGACACAACTATTAACCAAGTTCACGGTGACTTCTAAAGTGTAGGTCCGATGTTATATAGTGTCTGGCTGCCATCCCATTACTATCTAGTAATTGGCACAGTGGCGAGTAAAACCCAGATGACCGACGAGTAATACTACTCAAATCGATATTAATCTGGAGAAAGGCGATGATCTTACAAGATCAAGACCTCAAGCTACTATGCGAGCACGGCCAACGATTTGTGTCTCGGCTGTTAGCGTTACAAGTGGTTCTAGGGAGTCACGACACCAGTTCCCTTCTATAACGCATTCCTCGAGGTACAATCGTAGCAGTTACGACTCGTGTTAACCCGCTCAACTCTCTTGGAATCAGTTGGAGGCATTATTTTAAGTGGTTTGAATTTGTTTTATTCGGTTCGGACAGTACTATAGGCTAGTCTACAAGGAGTTACTGACGCGTATATTAGCATGCTGTATCTTTCGCTCCCCGTACAAGTATCAGCAGATCTCGGCTGTTAGCGTGTTGATGATTACACTAAGGCTAGACGGGTTTCGGCTGTTGGCTCTATAATGCGCTTAGCTAGCAAACTGGTTTAGTGGGTATAGGATTAGATAATCCAGTACCTTGCCCGTCTCCTGACTCGGCTCGTAGCGTCTTAGCTAGCCGCTAGCAGCCGAGAGACCATCAACATGATAGCAATAGCCAGAAAACACCACTACAAAGAACTTGTTCCTCAAGCCTCTTAGTGATCAGTACTCTACATGCATTAGCCCCGAATGAACGATATCTCCACCTATGAGGGTAAACAGATTGATCTACTTACCCTTTTCAAGTAAGGACTAATAAGCCAAAGAGTGCAGCGGAGCTGAGAGTAATTATACCCGAGGTCCATTACATACCGCAACGCAGTGCAAGTTAACATCTACATCTATAGCTAAATGGGAAGTTATACCTGCAGGCGTAGCTTATGACCTCATTTTAAAGTAAAGAAATACCTAACTAAAGTGAGACCAAAAAAATCCAGACCACTACCTAATATTTAGCTTGTATAGCAATCGATACGGACTCCACAGGTCCAACAAGCTCGAGTTTCCCTCTGTCGTTATATATGTAGGTAGCACCAGACACTATTGAATCCGCGGCTAAGAATGTAGTCCTATAGTCTGGCCAATAGATCAAACCGTTATAATACACGAATCTGTAGCATCATACAACCGAAGGTGACCAAATACGGCCATATCTCGGCTGTGTGCAGAATTCACTATCACTTAGGTACTCAGTGAGTAGCCGCATGAGCTTAAGAACTCAGACAAGGAAGGAAATCCAAGGCGTCTAATAAGGCATCATACATAGATGATACAGCAAAAAACATAATGATTTACAATTACTGTTGTCTGCTCCCGATATCACCATATTCCTATTTGCATAATGTTCATTGTTTAGAAATAGCTCAATATCAGGCATATAGGAGCTTTAACAAAGTGGACTTAGCCATTGCATATCGCTTTGGTGTTAAGGATAAGGGAAAGGGGTACACAATTATGGAGCTCGGTTCGATTGGGCTGAATCGGGTTGGTGCAGTTCGCAAAGCGTGGTACGGTGATCCCTAGGTCTGTGGCATTTAGGCGCAAGTATAACCAAATACCTGTGCTAGAATCTATGTAAATGATCACGGAAATTTCCGCTCTCGTACGTGAATTCATGGTGTTATTTGTGTGAATGATGTACAGTTAGTGCAGCGAAAGTATGTCCATACGGAGCCGAACAGTTACCACTACAATTCGTCCACAGAGCGGCCATTGGCAAGGCACAACGTGTCTCCATAGAGAGCCAAATAGTGTAGGCAGAGTCTGATTGCTTAGCGGGTTTGTGTGGCGTTGATAAGGGGTAGCTGTGAAGATCCCTCTCATCCTTGGAAGCTCGTCTGTCTTTCCCTCGAGCTGTGCCACAGTAACCGGAGTGGAGATAAGAGGCATTGTATGTCTAAGAAACCATGTCTCACCGAGTTACACAAGCAACTAGCGTGAGGCCCACGGGCCGAAAAGCATCGAGAGATTGCCAACTCACGACTCCTACCTCTGTTTGTCCACTAATTATACTGTTGATGCTCTAGCTTATATGTAGTCGTTACTGTATATCTATTAGTTCAAAATTATTGTCACTTAAAAGGCAAGGCCGATAATGGAGAGGCTGGAGTTCCAGTCTTAGCAAACATTCAGAAAGTGGAGGGTTAGAAAAAGTCAGCTGCTCTCAGACCAATATATTTCCATACACCCCGGTCGGCAAGAACTCTATAGGAGCAGTGGTATGTCAATCTGTAGAAACATTTCGTACTACTTAAACTATATATTGGATCATTTAATGTTATAAGCATGGACGTACTAAGCGGGTCCTGCCCTCCCTCGACGCTCCATGCCCCATCAAATGGCTCTGAGAAGTCAGGTTTCGCAGTACTCACTCAGTAACGTGTAGAAGACAGGGCCCTGCATTCTGCGTACGATTAGAGGCGGTCGTAGGCAGACCGTATCAAAAATACGTAACCTCCATACTCACCGTCAAAGGGCATGACATGCAACGGACAGCACATTGATCGCCTTCTCCCACGCGGCTTCTTTAAGTACCGAATCATTGTCAAGGAATCCCATCAAGAGGTCTAGGCTGATATTAGGCATACCACGGAAAGTTGCAGTTGGAGGATATATTACAATAGCTCCTAGTCCCTCTACAAGGCTCCTGCTAGACTACCAATTCTACATTTGAAATTATCACCTGGAGATGTCAGGCTTTCTATTGACCATTGTCTTCATGGCGATAGACTCTTGTGTATTCTTGTGCTACAATACGTCCTACGATGAGTTGTATTACTTCTTTAAGGACTGCATCACGTATTCTGGTAGATTTTGTTGAGCCATGTGATATGGAAGCATACTATCATAAGTAGAAAGAACCTTGCTCTTTAATTATCCCCCAAAAGTCTATAAATCGAGGGCCAGTTTCCCTTGAGATACTCAGGCACTCCGATCCAAGCTCTAGAACACCCTAAAGACATTCGTACCTACTCAACCATAGCATAATCAACTGTCTTAAAGACGCACTGGAACTCACCTCCTCCCTATCATCCTTCAGATATACTTCAATCTCAAGCAAGAATGGCAAGTGAAGAAGTATCTCAGCTGGTGGATATGTGCGAATGGCGCTGGATACAAGACAGCCCGGTGAAGGTTCGTGACTGTGGTAGGCGCACTTGCAAATGCTCAAGGTACTATGACCCGGACGCCTAAAAGTGAATCGTAAGTTGTCGCATTTACCTAGTCTATGTTTATATAACTCTACGCTGACAAGCGAGTAATAGCCAGGAGTTTCACTCTGTGCATTGCCACCATCACCAAAACCTCGCCAGCCACTCCTTTTACCCACACACACTTCCCGTGAGGCTTCTGGAGGGAAACGACACTCATATTTGGCTTCTTTTGGATATTTTGATCGACGATTTACGCCTTTCCTTTGCAATTTTGCGTAGGAATATCCGACTAGTCGCTCCTTTACCAACGACAATAGCTAGCCTTTTCGTCTCTATACGTGGATTCAATCTCTATAAATACATCCAATCGTTTACCAACCCTAAAATACCCCACCCGGAGTGACCCTTAGGTGCCTGTGGATCTTAAGTAATGCGTAAAAATTGTCCTTGCAATCTGGGCGTTCTATCTTCTTCTGCATGCACCGCTAGATTTCCTCAATACTCCGAGGTCGTAGCCTTCATCATCAACTCGGAGGCGATATATTATGGTGGAACGAAAGTCGAGTCAGGCCGCTTAGTCTCTGTTGCCAGAATGGTCTACAAGTACTCCAACAATCTGGGACATACCTCGTACATCCAGATAGAACTACGAGTATGAACATGTGTCTAGGTAACTATTAACGTCTTAGCTATGCCCTCATAATCTACGCCGGCAACGTAAGACAAAACCCCTCCGGAGGTTATTTTCAGACTTCGCAGCCTACATTTGTCTACTAATCTTCATTCAGGATTTGTGAAATTTGCAGTATTCGTCACTGATATGTTGAAGGTCCAACCATCAGAAGGGGAGGAAGCTTAGTACTTCCACTTTTCTCCCTCTATTAGTTCATGCTTAAGACAAGTCGCCGGATGTGCAGCTCCTATACGACTGCAGCTCTGCTCTCTCATCGCATAGATCATATATGGACACAAGTCTGGTCGGGGTAAGGAGGTGATTTGAAGGAGGGCTTGAGTCACAAGTCCCCATTCCTGGGCTAGACTTGGTTACTGAACATCTCACAGATGCGTTGGCAACGGCATCCGTTGGCCAGCCCTTGCGGTTGTTTAATTCCATGCATACATCATTGTGTGACTGCAACCTGCCACGAGTAGGCATTTTCGATCAGCATAAAGAGATTAGGATCTGTAATTCAACCGGAAAATCACTTCATAATTACACCAAAGCTGGTTGGGTCATACCTTCTTATCTATTCATCGCCGGCATTCAAAATCAGAAGCTACCCACCCTCGTATGCCTGCGAACAGCATTTATGGCTAACTAAATTCTATTAACTAAATTGCTATAGTAAAAAGGATTGGTCTAATTAAGTTGAGTAAGATGGAGGTGAAGGTGGAGATTCATCGAGGATGCTGTTACTCATGTTCCATCGTATTCATGTATGCATCCTGAATCCGTCGTGGGCAACGAGTAGAAACTTGCCTCTATGGCGTAGTGGTAGCGCGTGTCACTTGTAAATAACAGGCTATGACAAGGTCTCTCGTTCGATCCGGGATGGAGGCAAATCTAATTATCCGTTATCTTTGCCACTTACTTTTGCTTCTACCACTATAAAGTATTTTCTTTTTAGCATCTGCTCCTAGTTCACACATTGTGGTAATGCCATGCTTCTTCTTAATCGCTTAGGTCAAGGAGTCATCATTAAAGATAGACAGGGCGAGGAACACACCGACTATTAGGAGGCGTTAAGGGGGAGGTTAAAAAAGGAGAAGGCTGTTTAGTAAGCATCTGGACCATAAATACCTATTCACTGCCATCAATGTGTGCCCCTAATAACCGTGACTTCCATAGTTAAGATTGGATAATTTAAGTAATAAAAGGATAAAAGCCAAAACTGATGACTCCCATTTTTCGAAAACGTTTGGATCTGTTTAATTAGATGTGATACGAGCTGATTTATGTAATATTCGAAATGAACTGATACGTTGATGTTAAGGGGTAAAACGACGCCGTCAGTGCTCTGAAAGTGTCATAAAGAGACAGTTCATGTATATAGTTAGGATAGTTCCACGTAGGTGTTTAGAGACCCTCGCGTAATAATAAGAGTCTATTGCCTACCGTATACATGGGGTTCGTGACAGAAAGTATCAACGGTATATATAGGCTCCACATCTCCACGACAGTTCGATATGCGTCCAATAGCATGGTAGCATTAGTTCGGGCAGAAGATTGATAATTAGAATTGGGATAGGTAAGCGAATTAGAAGCAGACGAATCATTGTACAACGAAGACATCTTCATGAAATACCGGCTAAAGTCATCACAAGGTTGATTGGGGGAAATGGCAAAGATAATTATCCGATAACCCTAAACAAAACCTCTAAACGTGAATAAGAGATGAAATCCCACATATTTCGGAAAATATACGGGACACACTGTAGTGCAGTGATAGTACGGGTGAGGGACCGTCTGTATGGATCCCGGATGAAGCCATTACAGTAAGGAAAAGAGAGGATTAATAGACGGAGAAATCATGAATATAGAGAGTGTAGCATAAAGATAAAATTCTTGTATTTACAATGTGTTGTCGTCGCGGATCAGTGTATGGGCGTAGTGCCACCCTTCCTTTTGCACTATAAATAGCGAAGTTAGTAGTTTTCCAAGAAAGCCACATCTAAGTTCGCGGGTAAAGGTATATCAAATGGGCGAATTTGGTGAAATTCGTCAGGAAAGAAATCGAGTAGTCGGTTTGGCGGGCCACTTACTATCGTCTCGGATTTTGTAGCTGTTTTCGGCAACCCTTAAAACGTCCATATCCAGATCGATAATCGACATACCTTCGGCACGACCCAATCGTCCCAATGCTCCTATATGCGGCACGGCGACTTGACTCAAGCCCGCAAAGCTCGTTTCCTCACCCTGCTCAGGTGGACCGCCGGCGTTAACGAATACAACGGCACATGTGTTCTCAAATGCCCGAGCCACGACTATACTCTTCAGAAATAATGTTTCGCCGTCTGGGTTTAAGGCGTAGCTGTCATCAGATACATCACGCATACACCAGAATGTTGGCACGCAGATAATCTGAGCGCCATCGACAATGAGCTCCCGGAATGCTTCGGGAAACACCATGTCCCAGCAAATAAGTAGGCCGACACGCCCGAGGGGTGTATCAAAGGCTGTATGAGGTTTGTGGGCCGATGACATGAGATGGGGGCGCTCTGGGTGCCATAGGTTCTTCTTTTGGTATCGTCCAACAATTTCACCATTCGACGAAATGAAACAGGTGATGTTTTGCAAGGAATCGCCCTCCGATTCTATAATCGTCCCGGGAACGATGCAGATATTGAGTTCTTTAGCTAATTGTTGATATTTCTGCAGATATACCCGAGATTCCGCAATTGAATCCTTAAAGCCCGGTTCGTCAGGGACCCATGAGGTGAGATGATACTCAGGCAATACGGCCAGGTCGCACCCTTTCGAGGCGGCGTCTCGTATAAAGGAGGTGGCTTTCTCAAAGTTTTGAGCTGGCAATAACGGCTACATTAAGCGTAAGTACGTACACTCCTTTTCGCGGCAAACTCATAAATCTAGGCCATATATGAGCTACCAGGTCCCCGTAAGTGACACCTGAACTACTTAGTTCCGGCTGACTAATTGAAGAGAGGGGAATCAAGGGGCGGCCAACACCCCGGTAGTTATATGGGTGAATATTCAGATCTCAGAATTGGTGACAGACACTCACCTTTGGATGAAGCTGGACTAACGCGACCTTATAATTTGGTGCCATTTTGAAATACGAACAGGGAGAGACTGGTATATCTCGTCTTATGTTACTAGTATAAACGTCACTTAAACAAGGTATAGTGACTATATTGCTTGGTCAACGAGGGCCGAAGAATCAGGTACAATTGATGTTGTACCCGTAGGTAGTATGGAGGGGGCATGGTCTGTGAGCTATGTACCCGCTTAGGAGGTAGCTGGGTCTACCTAATCTCCTTATCGTCGTGCGTAACAATTGTTTAGCCACAGGTAGGTAGATATCTCTGACTAGGGTATAACCAGCCACCTTAGCCACTTTAACCCACCACAATAGGCCGTGCCCTTACAGTTGCCGGACCCCACACAGGCTGATGGGGTGGCCCAGAGGCAGGTTGTTGAGGCGGAGTGTAGACCTTCGAGACTTTGGAGTTAAGTTGAAGCAAGTAGCAATGCTTAGGCCGCCATGGGAACTGTGATTATTTTATTTAATATACTACTAACTACCGCCGCCATCTGTGAATCAAAGATACATAGGCAAGAACGCGACGATGACAAGGGTTGTACGGCTTCCAACTTTCATAATTGGGGAATTACTAATTGTAGCCTAGAAAGTCTCGACCACCTTCGCTAAGAGCGACAGATCGAACGGGAGCATCGGTGACAAAGACGAAACGGGATTAACAGAATTAACTAAGGTAGGTGCACTGGTCACTTAATATAGATGGAGAGCTCGATGCATACTTACAAGCTACATTGTAGCGCTGCTAACGGTAGGAAGGAGGCCCAGTTAGTTCCTGTTATATTCTTACAAGTTTATCGTTGCTTACATGGTTATTGTAAACAGCGAACGGTGGAAGGGCACTTGCAGCCAACTAAAGCATACGCACGATGGGAACAGCTCAGCACCCGTGATCTGTAGTAAGGATGGAAGGTATAAACACCCCTTTAATTGTGCCTCGTGCAACCATAGTCAGGGCATCATGCGAACATTATTTGGGAATGGTGGGCTTTACCGAGCATTTACTATTCTTTTAACAAGCCATGCTCACCAAATTCAACAAGCTGTAATATAGGCCACATCATCATGGTAGCACTAACGACACTGTTTACTCACTCCTCCTGGTGTTCCAATCGGTTTGTTGTCTTTGTTGATGACCATGCACCTGGAACAAGCATCATTCCACCAAGTAGTGGGTGGATAGATCCATCCTTTACCAAATGCATACCAACTCAATACACCACCGCCTATCCGACTTTCAGTCCAGGTGTATGCCCAGCTCATATGATAATCCTCGATATTGAAGTCAAAGTCCACAATAGCAAAGAGGTCTATACGGCAGCATGCTGCCAAAGGTAGGTGAACTCCACGCTGCCCCGAGAATTCGTAATTAACTAGTGTCAGCGGATTCTCCCCCATGTCTGTGGACTCCGGGTACTTGTGCACTTCAATTATAACAAGCCCTATGGCTTTCCTTCTTGATCCGAACATAACCACTGCCGACATATACACGACCTTGCCACCTGAGCTACGGATTGAGCACGACCAGGTGACGGTCCAATGGGAGCCAACCGGCCTTGCTCTTTTCCCGATCGTAGTATCGTCCCAATACGCACGACTAATGGGCATCACAGCGCCGCCTTCGACGGACAATGTTGCAACCGAGACAATAGGAGTTCTTTCGTCGTGTGCGGGAACGCCTAAATTGACAGCAGCGCCTATGACACCGATTATATGGCCAACACCATTACCCAAACCAATAATTACTATACCAACATCCCAACTTTCAACTCCATCAAGTCACTCGCACGTCAAATCTATGAATAATAGCGCCTTGCAGGGTCTCGGCGGTTCTGCTTTCTCCATGTTTCTTTTGATCGGGATGATTATAACTTTGATGGCGTAAAAGTGGCGGTGGCACACTGGACTGTAACTTCTATCACACGATCGTCGACACAGGAGGATTCAGGGGAAGGGCTAGCTTATTGGTGATTCGTGTAGCAGTTAATTGTGCATAGCTCCTGTCTACCAACAGTTCAGGTCGTGAATTTCCGAGAGAGAATTTTTACCGTTGCCTCGAACCGGCATGTCTTGCACGGCATGTCTTGCACGGCACGTTTTGACTATGATTTCTATTCGTCAATGGGCTAGATGCCCGATGATCTTCCCCGCAGCAGGACCAATGGTACGATTTCCCCTATAATGTAACGGTAGGAAACCGGCACTAATAAATGGACGCGGGGATCGGGTGTATCTTTTCCGAGAGATATCATAGCTCTACCGAAAGGTATAACGACCTTATCCCCGCAGAGTATTGGCCTTCAAACGGGAAGATCATCATATGCCCATGCACAACCAACCGTGAAACTTTATCCGTGGTAGTCCGGGCATGCCGTCCAAAATGGGACGGTACCGCGGCCTACGGGACCCAGATGGATAAACAATCAACAGAAGAATGTCAATTATCATGTATCGTAGATGCAATAGATACCTGTGTAATTTTTAAATGTTAAGACTAAGTGTACACTATTGATATTGAGATAAACAAATACGAGAAGCAGAACAGCACTACAATTGCCATGGTAATTGCCTTCATGGCGTTATTAATTATATCTAGCGCACCCTTCAAGTGCCGGGAAAGAGGTGGACCGTTACTTCTACGCTATTACGCGCTCCCCACCCGAACCCCAACCGCGTCACCGGCATCATTGCATCATGCTGGGCGCCGGGGAAGGTAATGGGTGTCATTTCCTACATTCAAGCATGTATGTCTCTCAGCCACGTTCCGGCGGTGACTCCATGT